ATGCATAAGATTACACCCATATAGAATTTCTCAAGAGTACAAGTGTGTTTTAGATATGGATCCAAAACACACTGCAGAAATAATCCAGTTTGAGACTGCTTTAACTGCCCTGGCTCAATACTAGGGAATCCTGGGAACTGTAGTTTTGTGAGATATTTTGCTTTCTCTGTCAGAGCTCTGGTGCCACAATAAACTATAATTCCCAGGGTTCTCTAGCACTGATCCTGGGCAGTTAAAGCGGTTTGAAACTGGATTATTTCCACAATGTGTTTTGGACCATGTCTTTATGTAAATTTTATATTGTTTGAACTAGATGATTTCAATTCTTTTTAAATTCTCATTATATATTTTTTTAATTCTTATATTGTAAGCCACTTTGGGTCCCTTTCTGGGAGAAAGGCAGTGTAGAAATGAAATGAAATAAATAAATACAATTATAAATAAGTAAATACCATTATATCCTATGGTTATACAATTATGTCCCATGGGTCAGCTGACCAGACTGCATCCTTTTGGTTATGACATTGAGCTAGGCCCTAGAATGTCATCTTGCCCAAAATGAGGCAGTTAAAGCAAGTGTCCAGAGGAATCTACTATGAATTTGTTACTTGAAGCCTAGGTGTCAGTTGCAAGCCCAAGGACAGAACATTATCTTCTTTAATGTCTTCCTACATACATACAACATTAAAACATTGCTTTGCTTTTAGTGATTATAGTTAACCCTCTGTATCCACAGATTCCTTATCTATGGATTCAACCATCCAGAGTTTTAAAATATATATAAAAATATAAATTCCAAATGCTAACCTTAATTTTGCCATTTTACACAAGGGACACCATTTTACTGCACCATTGTATTTAATAGAACTTGAGGATCAATGGATTTTGGTATCCACTGGGGGTCCTGGAGTCAAACCCCAGTGGATACCAAGGGCCTACTGTACCTATAAAAACAGATTATGTGTTTGCTTGCTTGCCTGTTTGTTTGTTTCATGGAGACCTTTAGAATTACCAGAAGGTTTGCTTTTCTCTCTTCTCATGCAACACCTATATGAGCACAACTGACATTGGACAAATGTGCCTTTTTTTCCCCAGCAGTGACAATGGGAGACGCTGAGAAGGGCAAGAAGATCTTTGTTCAGAAGTGTGCGCAGTGCCACACAGTTGAGAAGGGAGGCAAACACAAGACTGGCCCCAATCTGCATGGTCTCTTTGGCCGAAAGACTGGACAAGCTGATGGTTTCTCCTATACAGAAGCCAACAAAAGCAAAGGTAAAGTAGAAGTGTCACACTAGCCTTTCAAATCAGATATAGTACAAAACTAAGCTCTTAAGAATTTGGTAAAAGTGGAGAGAAGGGGCCAGTGCGGTGTAGTAGTTTGAGTGTAGGACTAGGAATGTTGGTCACCAAATACCTGTTTAGCCATGGAAACTCATTGGGTGACCTTGAGCAAGTCACACTTTCTCCTATAATAGGTTCACCTTAGGCTTTCAGTAAGTTAGAAACAACCTGAAGGCTCACAACAACAACAGAGCAATAGAGGAGCAGAGCAATGTAGCAGAGATTTATTGTGTGTGATGAAATGATTCAATAGAATGGATCAGTTGGTCAGTGTACTCTGATCCATGTTCTACACCACCCAAGACTGGCATGTATTTCCCAAAATTCAACTAAGTTCTCATGCCTGATGTGTCCATCCTCCTTTCTGGATTTCCTTAGACTTTATCTACTTTTGGGGACAGTCAAGACGTTCTCCTATCTGATTCTTCTGAATATATCCCAGACTAAATTAGTGCCCTCCTTCTGTTCCCAGCCTTCACATATTGGTTTCAGATGGCTGATTGACAAAGTATTGTTGCCATGAAAACACTACCTTGTGATTTCATAAACTTTGCAGATACTAAAACTTTTGAATATTTTGAGAGTGAGAACATTTTTGGGGGGGGGGGGGAACAGCCTTTAACAAATACTCATTTCAAGGAAATTATAGTTTATCTCTGACATTATTTTTTTTTTATTTGTATCCTGTCCTTTTCTCAAAATTGGGACTCAAAGCAGCTTACATTTAAGAATACTGCTAAAAGCATGCAAAAATGAATATTAATATGGAATTAAATTAATTGCATTAGTAAAACAGTTCAGATCTATACATGAAAGAAAAATCCAGTTTTAAAAGAAAAAGGCTGTTAAAAACAGATGAGTTGAAAAAAAATACAGCACCCCTTAGTTCATTCTTGAAAAGGTTTCTGTATTAAAAAGCCTGTTGAAATAAAAAAAAAAAAGGTCTTGCCTGCCAACAGGAAGACAACATGGAGGGGGGAATTCTTGCTTCCCTGGGAAAGGACTTGCAGTGTCTCGGAGCAACCATCAAGAAGACCAACTGTATTTCACATTCCCACCAACTGTGCTTGTGACAGTGGTGGAAATGAGAAAAGGGTCTCTCCTGATGATCTCAGGGCCTGGACAAGCTCATAAGGGGACTTACAGTCTGCCAGATAGCCTGGACTTGAGCCATATATGGCTTTATAGAGCATAACCAGCACTTTGACTTGTGTACAGAAACAAACGGGCAGCCAGTGGAGCTATTGCAACTAAGGAGTAGTATGGTCCCTGTAACCTGCCCTCAGAGTGGCTCATGCCTTCAGTTAAACTCTACACATCTACCAAAAAAAAAAAAAGCACCTCAGCACTTGGTCTAAATAAGCTAGTAATTCATGATGTTCTTCTAAAGTCAGTCCTAATTAGTCCTTTTCTGTTCAAATTGTGTTAAGCTTATCTGGTTTTATATTTATATGCCATGCATTGCATGCTATTGAACTTCGGTCCAAGGTACGTTATCACTGGAGAAATAGAATGTAGGTATTTATATTTACACATATAAAACACTTGCTGGATCTCTAATAATTTTGTATTTCATAGGTATAATCTGGAGTGAAAATACACTGATGGAGTACTTGGAAAACCCCAAGAAGTACATTCCAGGAACGAAGATGATCTTTGCTGGTATTAAGAAGAAGGGAGAAAGGGCAGATTTAATAGCATACCTTAAGGAAGCCACTTCTAATTAATGGCTCTCTGCTGCCTTATTTATTTTACCAAACAAAAAGAAGTGACTCTGTGATGAGATTGGTTCTTAAACTTTATATTTTTACATACATCACTGTATATCTAACACTTCAAAAAATCTCATCAGTCAGAGAACTTTGATCATGAGTGATTGTAAAAATGTATGTACCGATTCTTGTTGTATTTATGGAATTGTACTAATCAGGATTTATGGAATATGGGCAAGGTAACATCACTGCTTCCTGATCATGTGATTAAAAAAAAACTCTCGACATGTCTTTGTTTTTTCTTTATAAATGAACTCAAAGGCACAGAAGCTTTCATAACCTCATGTTGGACAAGTATAGCTTGCCTCATCATCCTGTGCTTTACTGCTGAACAGATTAAACATGGACACATTCTATAGAAACTTCAAGATGATTTTCTATTGCACTTGAATCCTGCCTCTCCAAAGACTTGAAGTAGATATAGGGAGCTGGGTACATTCACAGTCCTTAAAAAAGTGGTAGTTCAATAGAACAGGTCACCAGTTTCATGAAAATTTTACCATTCATTGGATTAAATCTGGTTTTGCTCTTCTGTGGGGGGGAGTAGAGGAAGGGAGTATTTGTATTGTTTCCACCTTCCTTCAAAATGTTGCTGCAAATTGTTGAGGGAGCTTGCAACAAAGCATCAAAGGTATAGTAATGGTGAAAGAAAAGCCGCCTAAAGCTATTTCTTATCCTTTTAATGGAACCCTCTGCTGGATGTAAGAGTTCTGAAAATGGAAAATGTCTTCCATTTGTAGAGGGAAATATGGGATGTATCCTAGTCATTGCAAAGGTTTTGACTTGACCACAATCTCTGAAGACACAAGTGGCAAAGGGCTTGTACAAACAAAAATGTTCATGTATGTTTGAACAACATTACCCTGCCATCTGCAACATTGTATGTTTGGAAATTCTTGTTTTCAAGCACTGGTTTGCAATGTATTGCTGGAGACTGCTTGGTGGAAGGGTTGAACTGAAGAATACAAAAACTGGAAATATAAAAAGGGGAAAAAACAGATTTCTAGATTGTTGGTAATTACAGAATAGACCATGGAATGTTTTGGCTATTCATGTGTTTTAGAATAATACAAAAATTATTTTTTCAATTGTTTACATCAGGGATGGTGAATCTTTTAGGCACCGAGTGACCAAACTAAATGGCCTTCTGGCACTGGATGTTACCCCATGCCGGAGGCGTCCCGGGTGACTTCCAGGGTGACTCCCCCCCCAGTACCTTCCTGGGCCTTCATCTGCCTCTCCAGAGGCAGATGAAGGCCTGGGGTGGCTGGGAGGAGAAGGAGGAACAGGGTGCACCTTTTTCCCACTCTGTGCTAATGAAAATTTCTTTGTGCGCCATCTGTGGCACACGTGCCATAGGTTTGCCAATGTGGGTTTACATGGTCATATGTTTTTACACTAATGTGGGGTTTTAACAGCACAAAGACTAGCCTTTTCCAATCTGGTGCTCTTTACATGCATTAGATTAAAATTTTAGTATGTGGGATTATAAGAGCTGTAGAACAATATATTCAGGGGTGGTGCCAGGTCATGGAGGAGCCAGTGTGGTGTAGTGGTTTAACAGTTGGACTTCAACTCCAGAGATCAGGGTTTGATTCAAAGCTTAGCCATGGAAACTCATTGGATGACCTTGGGTGAGATACACAGCCCCAGAAAACCCTGTGATATGGTCATCATATGTTGGGAGTGACTTGAAGGCGCACAATAGCAGTAACAACAGGTAATCAAGTTGTGAAAAGGAAAAAGATATGCAGTTTGAGATGGGAAATTAATAAATCTGCTCACCAAAGTCATCTTCCTTGGGTTCAAAACCTCCAAGTAGATTCCTTTTGTTATATGGGCAGTAGTGAGGACTCTTCACTATTTCTTCATATAGGGCTTTATGTAGAAATAGAAAAAGAGTTCTCATAATCTGGGATCA